CACACAGAAAATGATATAATGGGACCTGATACTTTATAGGCCAATTTACAATTTTCAAAGTTCAAAAAATAAAAGTTTTTGAACAACTCTGGCAAGGATAAGAATGAATTCCTGGGCAGTAAATCCAACACGGGATATTTTTCACTTTCATGTTATACAGTGCTGGGGATTAACCCTGGGCCTTGTGCATGCTAGGCAAGTACTCAACCCTGCATTCCCCACTCTCAAAGCAGTTTCAAGTCTGTGAGCCATTCATTCTCTCAAACTCCTACAGGATGTCTTCAGAGAGAAGCAGCCTTACAGACCTGTGCTGAACAGCAAGACAGGCACGCGCTCGAGTGGCTTACCTGTGGGATGGGAGGCAAAGGCCAGGAGCACCACACTGAAAAGTAACCACAGTAAAGCAGTCAAGAAATCTTCTCAAGCACACACAGGCACCCAAAATGCATTAAAAACACACACATTTCCACGCAATTTTACCTAGTAATAGCTGAGCTTGCCTGAAAGAAAATTGTCTATACTGACTAGAATGTACTGACTGGTATAGTTTGACTGAACCCAGATCCTCAGAGAGTGAGAAGCTTTTAGAATGGCTTCTGTTTTGGCAAGAGGGTTCATACAGGTCTGATGAAGGTCTCACATCTCTATGTTTGTATTACTTTTTCTGGCCCTGGCTGACTTTATTATCATGTCATCTAATTTACAAAGCTTGTTTGAAAGCTAAACGCATACTCCAAATTACAAATAGGTTGCAATCTAAAAGCTTGGTTGGGGCAAAGGAGTACACAGGGGTCATATACCATACTTAAAAATTACAAAAATTCCTCCCATATCTCCCCATCACTTTTTTCTGATAACTTCATGTGGAGGGGAGGGAGTAGGCATGGATTTGATCAAAACACCTTATATGCATGTATGAAATTCTCAATAAATTATTTATTTTTAAAAAATTATAAAAATTAAGCCTCAAACAACCAACTACCTTAACAAATGTACTTTAAAACATCCTGAAGTCTAGGTTAAAATATTGAATTTTGAGAGTATGCTGAGTGTCACATCAGCTGGATCAGGCCTGTCTTCCCCATAACAACTTTGACGCTTTGTAGGCCTAGAATTGAGTTAGGAAGACAGACCTAGGAAGGCCCTGAAGCCAAACTCAGGACCACTCGGGTAAGAGATTCAGGTATGCAGTCTAGAAGTGAAGGTATGGGCACTGGAATAATATCCCACTAGAATAATATCCCTACACTACAGTCCCCTCGTTCAAGGCCAGCAGAAGCTTTGCCTGCCCAGCCTGAGGGCAGGGCTGCTATTTGGATTCCTCAGATTTTGATCAAGTCATAATTATTTAACTTGCTTTCCTGACAGGCCCTTTTGCTTAAAACTCTCTAATTAAAATATGGTTAGAAAATAGAACCTCAGTATTCTTGAAAAAAAAACTCTTTTTCCTTGATCTTTCTGAGACAGAGTCTCCCTGTAGCCCCAGCTGGCCCTCACTGTGTAGACCAGGCTGGCCTTGAACTCAGAGAAATCTGCCTGCCTCTAATATTATCTTACCTGAATATGTAGTTTAAATACTGCTGGTCAATGTCACTGTGGAATGAGAGAGAAAAGGACAAAACATATGAAATGATGGAAGGGATTTTTAAATCTATAAATGGTCATTTTCAAATATACTATTTCCCTAAATTATCGATAGGAGGAAGAGTACTTTATATTCATGATAAATTCCTGTTAGTTAACCTGAAATAACTTTTTATAATTCCATAATTTTTAAAAACTTATAAATTTCCATTAACAATTTTACTATGGTTTCCTTTCTTCTTACTTCAGACATAAAATATTTCTAGCACTGAAAAAAATTATTAAATGAAGTCATTAATTCAGCAGTTCATATCAATACAATTAAAAAGCTAAAAAGAGAAAATAATAAAAATGTTAAAAGCAGGCTATTTTCACCTAATTCAATTTCTGCCTACCACAGTACAAAAATAAAAAACAAAAAAGTCAACACATTCGAACCAAAGATTTCGGATTTTCAAATTCTTTGTTTCTCTTAATACAGAATGAACGTTTGTTTGACAGTACTAGCATCCATTTCCCTCTGCCTCTTGCCTTGGCAATATTCTAGAACAGTGAATGAGAAGGACTTCAAGGCTGGGTCGGTGCCTGTAACTCCAAAAACAACTAACACAGCATATTTTCCAGGTGTTCAATGACTGTACTGAGGGAGGGAGAAAAACAATGTGCATATATTCTCATCTACATATGTGCACACTATGGTCTGGAAACACTGGTTTCAACTGCTTAAATAGCCACTGTCGGAGCAGTGGTCACAGAAAGGCAATCTGACTTTTTTTTTTTTTTTTTTTTTTTTTTTTGTCTTTTTGAGACGGGGGTCTCTTTGTAGCCCCAGCTGTCCTGGAACTCACTATGTAGACCAGGCTGGCCTCGAACTCACAGAGATCTGCCTGCCTCTGCCTCCCAAGCGCTGGGATTAAAGGCATGAGCCACCATGCCTGGTGGCAATCTGATTTTTAAAAAAATATTTTATTTATTATTTTTATTTTATGTGTATGAATGTATTGCCTGCATGTGTGTGAGTGCACCCGTGTCGTGCAATGCCGCAGAGGTCAGAAGAGGGCTTCGGATTCCCCTGGAACTGGAGTTAAGGACGGTTCATAGCCGCCATGTGGGTGCTGGGAATCGAACCCGGGTCCTCTGAAAGCGCAGTCAGTGCTCTTAACTGCTGAGCCATCTCTCCAGCCCCAATCTGATTTTTAAATTACTATGAAATTCTACTATAAAAACAAAAAATGAGTATTGAACCAGATTTTAGCTATGGTTTACAACATTTTGACATTTCACCATATACATAGCTTAGCATATTTTTATTTATTTATGCTTTGATGGTTTGTTTGTTTTATTGTTTGAACAGGTTCTTACTGTACAGCCCAAGCTGGCCTCAAACGTATTATGTAGCCCAAGTTGGCCTTGATTTCTGTGGTAATCCTCCTAGAAAGTGATGGGATTACAGGCGTGAACCAACATGTCTGATTCTCAGTGTATTTTAAATTTTTTCATATTCAAAAATTGATGTAAATTCTTCTAGCACCTACTTTTTTTCTAACTATAGCTACTACCTCATCAGATCTAAAATTATTTTGGCAAGAGCACAGTATATACACACATGTATTTAAGTGAGCTCTATAGAGAAATACTCATAGGCAGTTTAAAATGGCTTCTTAAGGGCCAGGGAGATAGCACAGTGGGTAAAGACACCTGCCACCAAACCTGCCAACCCGAGTTGGAGTCTCAAGATCCACATGATAGAAGGACTCCTGCAAGAAGCTTGTTAAAAGCACAAGTTGTGTAAGACTGGTTACTAGGTAAACTTTACAGTTTGACATTTACATTTGAAGGGAAGAGAACTCATGCCTTCCTTGCACTCAACACAGGAAGAGAAAGTAATGTAACCAAGGCGACCCATGCTCCACAGTCACTCTGCTCACTTGCCATCTTAGGCAAAGGGTTCAATATTTCCATGTTTCCCAGTTTTAATTAGCAGCAAAAGGACCAAAAGGAGAAGATAACTTTAGAACCACCAGAAAGTTTGTAATATAACCTATAAATACTATAGTAATATTGTCCTAATAAGACAGGAGGACTACTAAGGTAACTTTTAGATGTAAATGGAAATTCTTACTCTACAGACAGGACCAAAAGGGAGACTACAAAGGTAATTATTAAAAAGAACATGAATCTTGATTTGCATATAATTGTTCTTTCAACAAGATTTCAACATTTAAAAAATTTTTCAGTTCTGGGGAGTGAACCGAGGGCCTCAAGCAAACTAGACCAGTACTCTGCCACTGAGCTATATCCCCAGCCCTGAACATTTCCTTTTAAAATAAACCAATAAATCACAATTCTGGTGGTGACATATGCCTGTAATTCCAGAATTTAGGAGACTGAAGCAGGAGGATCATAGGTTCAAGGCCAGCCTCAGCTACATAGGGAGTTCCAGAACAGCCGGAGCTACATGGCCCAGCCTTATCTCAAAAACCAAAAAAACAAAACAAACAAACAAAAAAACCCATAATAAATCAATCACAATTCTGTATTGCTTTTAAGATTATTTTGTTTAAAAATCACCCATTTCACCAGGCATGGTGGTAGTGCATGTTTTAATCCCAGTACTCGGGAGGCAGAGGCAGGTGGATCTCTGTGAGATCAAGGTCAGCCTGGTCTATAGAGCAAGTACCAGGCCAGCTGGGGCTGTAGGAAGACCCTGTCTCCAAAAAAGAGATACATTTTATTATTAACACAAGTATATTTTTATTTCAGGTTAGATTATCCAGGTAGGGAAAGAATAAACCACAGTGCAGTCCCGTTAAGCTGTGAGTCAGGTTTTAATGGCAAAGTTCACTGTGGCAGTGGGCATACAACTATCAAAGAAGCTATAAATACAAATTCTGAACTGCTTCCATCAATGGACCCTGCTTCATTTTTAACAGGCAGTTCCTAGTTTGGTCCTGACACATCCTTACCTGTGGTTAACTACCTCCCATGGTGTGTTGGCCACTTTCAAAGGAGTTCAATTATCAACTTGATCAACTACCTTGAGCCACTGGACTTTCTGGCTTCCAGGGATCATGCTTAGCAGATAAATATCCAGGACCAGTGGGATGGCTCAGTGGATAAGAGCACTTGCTGTGCAAGTATGAGGGTCTGAGTTTGATCCCCTAGTGGATGGACAGAACACACATACTACAGCATGTGCATGCCCACATCATATACACACACACACACACACACACACACAAATAATAATAATAATAATAATAATAATAAATACATTTTAAAATCCAGGACACTCCAATAACATTAAATTACAGCTAAATGGTAATGTTTTAGTATATGTTCCGATCCACATGGAATACTTAAACTAAAATAATTACTTGCTGTTCATCTGAACTTCAAAATTAACTGGGCATCTTGTATTTTGCTGTTGTTTTCCTTTTGTTTTGTTGAGGCATAGTTTTACTATATTGCCCAGTCTGGCTTGAACTCTTTCGGGGTCTGGAGTTCTGGAATAAATTACAGGTATGCACAGCCACACCTGGCTCTACCAGCTTCAGCCGTAAAAACACTTCAAAGAATAAAAGGCCTCTACTGCGTGAAAGTCACAGGGGCATGACCCTCAGGAAGGAGTCACCCCCAGGTCTTCCTCTCTAGGCCTCCAGGCGTCCCCGTCACCCAGAGGCCAGCTGGCCAGCCTCACTGGAAGCCAGAATTCTTTTACACTCATCAAGGCTGTTTCACTGACTACCTGCTAACAAGACTGACAGCTGGGGAGACTTCTGGATATAAACTCATTAGAGCAGAGCTGAGGAAACAAGAGCACAGGAGCTGCCCCCTTTTTTGTATTTTATTTATTTTGTCTTTTTGAGACAGAGTCTCTCTGTAGCCCCAACTAGCTATGTACTCGCTACGTAGACCAGGCTGGCCTTGAACTCACAGAGATCCACCTGCCTCTGCCTCCCAAGTGCTGGGATTAAAGGCGTGTACCACCACACCAGGCTCAGGAGCTGCCCTTCTAAGTTGGATGTAATGTGGGCAGGTCACAGGCATTTCATTACATTCTCATCTAAATGGTTGCCCCTGAAGGAAGTAGGTGGAGACTTCCATGCCTCTGCATACATAGCTGAAGACTGGTCCTACACAGGTAGCAATGGGCCACAGGGTAAGTGACCCAAGCAGCAAAAAGAGATAGTCTGTGAAGGCTGTTTGCTATCCTAACTGCAGAGTCTCTGGTTAGATGGAAGAATTTTATGACGAGTGGGTCTCACCTGTTTAAACAGTCAACTCACCAAACATTAAAAGCTTACCTTAATATGCTGGGCTTCTGCAACTTCTGGAGTACTTTGTAAGCCCCTAGAAATGAAGTGATGTGGGTCACTGGCAACTGCCAACACTTTCAGGGAAGCAGAAAATCCACAGGAAGAAGAGCCCCCAAAGTGCAACTACTGGTCCCCTTTTCCCTATGAGGGTTACACACACTGACAGGAGGAGACAATAGGTTGCAAAGGTTCAAATTCCATCATCCTCCGTGATAATCCCAGCCGGCCCTTCAAGCCAAGAATGCTTCACGACTCCCTGAACAGGGCCCTGGCCTCCTTGTGTTACCTCAGCAGGTAACACCAAAGGGGCAGTTTGTATTTCCTTCCCCTGATGCACATGGAAACGAGACACCCCAGAGATTTCTGATTTTTCTGAAGAGAGGAGTTGAAATAAAATGGTCTTTTTATTTCACCTTTTTTAGGTTTTGTATGCTACAGAAAGAATTTTTGACATGACCTTCTGAGTACCCACCCACACGTTTTAGGGAAGACCAACCAGCATTCCAAGTAAAACCCAAGCCATGGTGAGTTAATGTTTGCACAAAAGAAAAACTCTGTCGGAAATGGAAGCATTTGAGGAAAACTCCAAAATTGGAAAAAAGAACAGAAAATGTCCATTTAGTTTTCATTGTAATACCGAGGATTTAATTTTCCTATTGTCCAGGGTCCCTCAAAAGTGGATACACAGCCAGGTGTGGTGGCACATGCCTTTAATCCCAGCACTCAGGAAACAGAGACAACTGGATCTCTGTGAGATCAAGGCCAGCCAGCCTTGTCTACACAGTAAGTTCCAGGCCAGCAGAGCCTACAAGGAGACCCTGTCTCAAAAAACAAACAAAAAAGTGAATACAAAGTAAAATCTAAAACGATTTCAGTAACTTACCTACACAAAAGAAGTGAATTACAGCCCAAAAATATCCATCTGGATCAAACTGTAATACAGGATTAAAAATTAAGAAAGGAAAAAAAAAAGGCTAAGTACAGACAAAAGGATTTTGTGCAGCAATTAGAAGCCCAGTGGTGAACACAGAGCCAAGGCTCCAAATGGGCCGTGAGTCAGTTCCTCATTGCCACCCAGTGGTTCAAAACATCTTCCTGAGTCCTCCAGAACTCCACTCCCCACACTGCCACCACCCCCATGGTGTTCAAACCTAAGCTCATGACATCCAAACTCCAGTATGACAAGCCCTTGTCAACCCCCTTAGTCACATCTACAGCCCCCCAACCCAAAGATAAGGATGGTCTGCATTTTCTTGAGTGTGAATGCCTCCCCTATAACTCAGCCAAGGAGACCCCTCCCTATTTGTGTATATACTTCTTTTTGCAATGCTGGAGGGTGGAGCCCCAGGGCCTGACACGGTAGGCAAGCTCTCCCTCAGAGCTCCACCCCCAGCTCTGACTCCTTCCTCTTTATTGTTATCCATAGGACTTAGTATCACCTACTCCACCCCATAATTTCTTTACTCTGTCTCCTCTCCTCTAAATTTTAAATTCCAGAAGGGCAGGGATTAGAACCAAGTAGACACATAGTAGGTGCTCAATAACGTTAAATCCCCAAATATTCATGACCTACCCTGAACTTGTACCTTGGCCTACTTTCTTTCCCTAGTTAACTCCTCTTAGTTCTTCCATATTTAGTTCCAGAAAGCAGTTTTTTGCCCCAGCAGCACAAAGATTTGGGTTAATTCTAAAATTTCCATGTATCCATTAGCTGACCATGTCTGGGCCACACCATTCTTTAGTTATAAAATGAACACAAAACAGTCCCTGCCCTTTCAAAATTGTGAAACTTATTTTTCCTGTCTCTCTTTGTGTGTGTGTCTGTACAGGTGACAAGCACATGCACATACATGTGGAGGCCAGAGCTTGACTTTGGGTGACTTCCTGTACTGGTTCCCTACCTTTTGAGACAGTGTCTCTCACTAACCTGGAACTCATCAGATAGCTAGGGGCCCCTAGGATCCTCTTGCCTCTGCCTCCTGGCACTAGGATTATAAGCCTGCACAACCACTACTGGTTGTTTGTTGTTGGTTTTTTTTTTTTTTTTTTTAACATGGACACTGAGAATCTGAACTCAGGTCCTCAAGTGCTGTACTCACTGAGCCATCTCCCAGCCCCATGTTGTAGACTTTCATGAAGACAGGGTACATAAAGCTTTGGCACAGAGCCCAGCACACAGCAGGCTCCCTACAATCATTAGTTGCTCCTATTTCCAGGGTCTCTGCTGCTTCCCAGAATTCACGACTCCCTGAACAGGGCCCTGGCCTCCTTGTGTTATAATGACCTGTTGCCGTGTCTGTTTCTCTCCCCTTTGCTCTAAATGGACTCCAACTTCTGCCAGGTCTGACTAATCTTTCTACCCTTGGAGCCTGGCTCAGTGTGAGATATTTGGGGACTTAATGCCAGGGGATGGGATTAAAGAGCTGGCTCAGTGAGTAAGGATACCTGAGTTCAGTGCCTAGCATCCAAGTTGGGTGGCTCACAACCACCCATAACTCTAGCTCCAGGGGATCCAATACCCTCTTCTGGCCTCCAGGGATACCTGCACTCACATGTAAACCACACACACACACACACACACACACACACATACACACAATTAAAAATAAAATAAATCTTTTTTAAAATAAAAGAATCCTAGGGGAGAAAGGAAGAAAGGTGAGCAAGGAAGAAAATCCTAGCAATGAACTGACTACTGGGGGTAAAAAAGACCCTCAGTAGAGCTGGGTGTGGTAGCACACACCTTTAGTCCCAGCACTTGGGAAGCAGAGACAGACGGATCTCTGTAAGTTCAAGGCCAGCCTGATCTACATAGTGAGTTCCAGACCATCTGGAACTATGGGCTACAGGGAGACCCTGTCTCAAAAAGACCAGAAAAAGAAAAAAAATAAAATAAAAAGGCCCTCAGGGTCTAAGGTAAACCTGACTTGGGCACAGGATGACAGAGTAAAAACCACTGCAGAAGAAAAGGTCCTGGGGTGGCATGGGAACACCAATCTGACTCAGTTCTGGAGGCTGGGGTGACTTAGGTATAGGATCACAGGTTCCCAAGGCACTCACAGAAGGTAGACTACATGCCCCCAGGAGCCAGAGTTCTAATGCCTAGAGAAATGATACAGCTGGGCCAAAAGGCAGGTAGCCTGATGGTTTTTTGAATGTCTCTGCTAGGCCAGGCTACCCTGATTCTAAAAAGAAAGGAGTAGAAATGCTACACATCTGTGAGCTTCACAGAGTCAACAATTCTTTGAAGGCACAATGAGTTCACCTGGTCTTACCTGAGAGTCATTGAAAGGAAGGCACCCTGCAGCGGCCAGGAGGAAGAGGGCACTGTGGACAGGCAGATAAAACAGGCCACATCAACTTCCAACATCAAAGCACTTCCTACAGAGCACGGAGGCAGAAACCATCCACTGGAATCTGCAGGCGATCAAGAACCTGGGTGGCCAACCCAGTTCCCCACCAGCCTCTGAGAGTCTCACTACCCAAATCTCTCTCAATTATGTGCTCTGCTCACAGCCAGGCATTTCCTTCTCTGTGGCTCAGCCGACTGATTCCTCAAGCCTGACATTCGCAGAACACCTGAAAACCAGAGTTGGATCACCCCAGAAAGGTGTGCCTGTCAGATGCTCCCAAATACACAAGAGGCAGATTGGGAGAGGAGACCACAATCAGGAGTAAGATGAAGGCAGCGGGGAGAGTGGAAAGTATATCACATCATTATCGGCCACCACCTTGTCTAAGCCACCGTTCTCAATTTCTCCAATAACAGGGCAGATCCATCATGTGCTTCCTGATACGATGCACTTGGGACACATCACATGTGTGGTACTTCTGCCTAACATGCAGACCTGAATTGAATCACGAGGAAATGCTGCAACAAACCCAAACTTAGGCCACAGCTCACAAGCCTAGACTCTTCCAAGAGGTGAAGGTCAGCCTGGCAAGACGGCTTGGAGGGTAAAGGCACTTGCTCCCAAGCCTGCCGGCCTGAGTTCAATCCCCGAGTCCCACATGGCAGAAGGCGAGAACCATCTCCATCAAATTGTCCACTGACTTCCACAGGCGTGCCATGGCACATGCATTCCCCACATATAAATATATACACATACACCACCATAAATAAATGCAATAAAAATTCTAATGTGAAGGCAAGTCAAAAAATGAAAAGAAAAGGTTAAAGGACTGACCCAGATTGACCCAGATTAAAGGATAAGAAAGACGTATGTTGTCCTGAGGACAAAATGGGATAGTGGCAAAATTAAACATGGACCCAATCTTAGACAATAGCACTGCATCAATGTCAGTCTTCTAAATGTAACAGCACTTTGGTTATATAAGAGATGGTTGAGTTTAGGAGACAAAAGTGTTTAAGGATAGGGTCATGGTCTCTGCAACTTATTCTCAATTGCATCAGAAAAATAAAGGAAATAATATATATTACATATATTGCATAATATGTATGTATTCGTGTATATATGGGAGGAAGGGTGTGTGTGAGTGTGTGTGTGTGTGTGTGTGTGTGTGTATGAGGGGGGGAGGGAGAGAGGAAGTGAGAGAAAGAGAAAGAGAAAGAAAGCATAAATACAAAAACAGTAGCGATGGGTATGTAGGAGTTCACAGTAATATTCTTGCTTAACTTTTATTTCCCGGATACAAATCTTGATTAGAAAAACCTCTGTAATCCTGAACTACAGGTGAAATGCTATGGTGCTGGGATCCACTTCAAAGCCATTCCGAAGGAAGGCAGTGGGTGGGTCTACAAGCTGAGACTCATTGAAGCTGGGGGACAGACATAGCGACTTCATTAAGTTCTATTTCTGCGCATGTTTAGAAATTTTCACAAAACTGGGGCTGGAGAGATGGCTCAGCATTTAAGAACACTGGCTGTTCTTGCAGAAGACCCATGTTCAAATCCCAGTACCTACATGGCAACTAACAATTGTCTGTAACTCCAGTTCCAGGAGATCTGATGGCCTCTTCTGTCCTCCTCAGGCACTGCATGACATGGGTGCACTTACATACATGCAGGCAATATACTCACAAATGCCCTCGAGCCACGCTGACTATATCAGGAATTAGTAAGCATTCGTAGCTTTTCCACAACTGCTAATCTCCTTTAAACAAGAGGATGAGTCCTAAGGTTTTGTGTTATATTTTTTCTTTCAAGTTACAATCTGCAACAAAAGCCAAAAGAGGGGGCGGGGATTGGACTGTATGAAAGCCCAGAAATGCTTGAAACAAAAACCTAAACCCATTTACTAAAGCAGCGCTGCTGGTTTTCCACCTGTAGGACGGCCACCTGCAGGACAGGGCTTCTTAGTCATTGCAAAGAATAGGGGTGGGGACTCAAAGCAACTGGGCACTGTTAGAATGACACTGTAGGCACAGGGACCTGCATGAGTATCTGGCCCAGGACAGACTCTCCCCAGGAAACTGAGGCACAGAGGGTCGTGAAACCTGTCCACAAGCACTGTGCTGCAGCCACAACCACAATTCAAACCCTGACATGTACAGGCTCCTGTTTTACCACCATGGAAAATCTTAGAGGGCCAGTAAACTGCAAACATTGTTTTATATTTATGTGTCTATGTATGTGCATGTGTCTGTGTGTCTATGTGTGTTCATGACGTGGTGGTACACTTGTATGGGAGTGCACACATGGGTATGGTTGCACATGTGTGAGCATGCATGTAGAGGCCAGAGGTCAATCTTGGGTGTCATTCCTCAGGAGCTATCTACTTTGTCTTTTGGGACAAGGTCACTGGGACCTAAGACTTGCTTATTTACGCAGGCTGGCCCATAAGCACCAGGGATACACCTGTCTCTGCCTCCCCACTGCTGGGTCCGTTACAAGCACATGCCGCCACACTGGGCTCTTTATGTGTGTGCTGGGGATCGAACTCAGGTCCTTATGGCTTGCACAGCAAGCACTTTACCAACCAAACCATCTCACCACACCCCCTTTTTACTCTTAACATTTTAAGTTGTTTCCATGTTTTTCATCTTCACTTTCTATCATTGCTACACAAATATTAGTGAAGTTTTGGGCATCCACTGTGAAATAGAAAATGGGTTGATTCCCCTCCAGACTTAAATATTGCAGAAAGTAGAGAATAATTTCAAAAAACCCCACAAAACAGAAATCTGTGACTGATTATAATAAATTCCCCTTTCAGCAGTTTATCAACTAAGTTCAAATCAGGTGAAGGGCCAAAGAGATGGCTCAGTGGTTAAGCACTTAGTGCTTCTCCAGAGGACTCCATTTCAGACCTCAGCACCCACACTGGGCATCTCACAGTCACTTGTAACTCCAGTTCCAAGATATCTAACACCTCTTCTGGCCTCAGAGGGCACCTCCACACATGTGGCAGACATGCACACGGACACAAACACATGCATGTAAATAAAAATAAATCTTTAAAGTTAAATCTTGTACCTTTGAGGTGTTTTCTTTGAACTTACCTACATATCTTTGCAGGAGGAGTTTTCTGTATGAAAGTAAAGAAACACAATTAGTCATTCAAAACTCTTTCATTCCCTTAAACAAAAACATTTAGATTAAGAGGCAAATAAAATTACAAGTCAATTTATTAGGGGATTTAACAGCTTGCTACAATTAGTATTTATTGCAGCTTCTTCTGCTTAAACCAAATAATAACTCGGGCCAACAGCTGAGTCACCCCGGCAAGGCACTTTGACCACTGTACCATGTTTGCTTGTGAACCACAAGATGATGCTGGTGCCAGTTTCAAAATCTTACACACCACGTGTGGGGCCTCGTGGCACAGGGCAGTGTGTCTGACTCCAAAAATCTTACACACCAATCCAAGGACACAGAGAGAAATCAATGTGATCTGCATGGGAAATGAAACTAATCCTCTAGCTCAACTTCTAGTCTGTGTCTGGTAGTCTCACCCCGTGCCTGGGCTGGCTTTGAACCTGCAATCCTGTTGCCTCGGCCTCCTGAGTAGACAGTGGTGTAGTCCTTCCCATATCATCAGACCTGGCTTGTCAGGAGATTTTTCTATTTGGCACCCATACCAATATATATTCGGCATACGCAAAATTCTATGGTTATGTGTTGCTAAATAACCAAGCTTTTGTTCTTTTAATAGATTTTTGTGTGCAAAGCTACGGCTTGTTGCATCTTTCGGGTCATTAACCTCTGAGCACTGTCCAAGCCATCATCAGAGTACGGGAAGCAGGGCTGCACCACCCCCTGGTGGAAAGAGTTAGCCACTACATACAGAGATCACTCACTAACCCGGCCTAAGACTGGCGTTATTAACCCTGTTACAATACAATGTGTTGCCAAAAATTCTGAGCCAAATATAATGGAAAATTCACAAGTCTGGTTAAAAGCAAGAATAGAGGATAGAGATTAAAGAGCTATCCCAATCTTCCCATGAATAACACGCACACCCATTAACTTAGGGGCTGACATCACAAGGGAACGAATCCATGCTCTTTTTAAATATTAATCTGAGACGCAGAATAACAATAAGATACAGGTTCATTACACAGCTCCATTCCTCCAGGGCTCTGAAAACAACTGAGTTAATGTTAGGCATCCACCTTTTCTGGCCCTTGGTCCAGAAATAACCTCACACTGAGTCCCAGTAATATCTCAGGGTTTGGGGTTGGTAAATACATCTAAGCAGGCATATTGCTGGTTCAAGGTCAGCTTGGGCTACTCAGTGAGAACCCTACCTTTAAAAAAATCGTAATGACAAAAACAACAATAAGGGCTAAAATTGCTCTGGATTACCTAGCTTACTCCACTTACTCTGCAGATGCTATTCTATTCTTTGCATGCATTGTCTGATGTAATTGTGGGTTAATGGTCATGGGTTATCTGATACAGAGAAAGTCACTCAAGATATGAAGGAACTTAGGGAAGAGGTTGACCAAGGTCATGGGGTTTGGGGTCAGCCTTCTAGTTCTACAACCTGAACCTTTTCTGCCACAAACTGCCTGCCTGTCCTTCAGTGACAACCCCTCTGGCCTTAAGCCACCAGCTTTCAATTGATACTTCCTCTGCCCATTTGAAATATCCTTTTTTCCTTATCCAACTGGAAAATCCCCATCCACCTCAAGCAGCTCCATTCAAAACTAGCCCCAGCAAAAACTTCCCTGCTCCTTCCCAGTGCTCAGTTCCTGGTCCCCTCACACCCTGTTCCAGCCACATGTGTGATTCCATGGGAGTCACAGACCATGAGTTAATGTTAGCTCTCCTCCACTCAACTCTGAGCTCTATAAGGATCATAAATGTGCCTCCCATATCTCTGCAGTTTTAGGTGGGGCAGAATGTTTAACATTTAGCATGAATATAAAAAGCACTGAGAAACAATACTGGCAATATTCTAACCCTCTGCAAAGTAATGCGATTAATTTCAAAGCTACCTATTACCTTCTAGTCAAACTGGTTATGCACATGGGGTGGGGGATGGGGGGCGGTATCTACAAAGAGCTAACCATGGATGGTAAAAAATGAATCACAGGTTCTAGATCAGTTTATTCTCATAATCTAGGAACAGAGTCATGAGGAGGTTAGTTTTACTCTCCAGAATTCATTCTAGTAAAATCTCCACATAATAGATAAACCAAGCCTTACAACTTTTTACATTTGAGTGTGTTGGGGGGTGGATGGATGGGTGGATGGGTGTTCACTCACATGTGCATGTGAATGTCAGAAGACAACCTGCAAGAGCCAGTTCTCTCCTTCTGTCATGTAGGTTCCAAGGATTGAACTCAGGTCATCAGGCTCGGAGGCAAGCACCCTTCCCACCAAGCCATCTCACTGGCCCTTGCTGTAACATTTGATAGTGTGTAAGGGGAGGAATAACTGTGTTCTTCATGAAAGAATATCCTTTCATTAAGGCTCTTAGCTGTGGATCTAAGATGTAAGTCACATTAAGAACACAGCCCAAGCCAAGGAGGGAGAGGCAGAATGAGTTTGAGGCCAGCCTGGATCACATAGTGAGACCTTGTCTAAAAAAAGGAGCACCAGGTATGGTGGTACACACTGTAGTCCTAGCACTGGGGAGACAGAGACAGAAGGATCAAGAGGAAGCCAACCTCAGCCACCTAGCAAGTTCAAAGGCCAGCTTGGGCTATGTGAGACCTTGTCTCAACAAAACAAAGTACAAACAAACAAAAAAGAACAAATTCCAGAAACCTTCATCACAGAGATTTAAATGCCAAGCTTCTAGAAAAAACATCTGCAAGTCCGCAAGTAGAGACTGGCTCACATGTGCTCCATCCAACATGGAACAGCAACGAGAGCAGGATTCCTGACCACTTATTAAGTGGAAAAGCAGGATGCACTTTGCCATTTGTGTAACTGCATCTATATATGTGCACAGCAAACAATTCTGTGAAAATACAGAACAACTGATTTCTGAAGTTTTTTCCTTTGCCTTTTCTAAAGCTACTTACATCTTGCTATATTCATAAAGAGGATGGGGGTTGGGGCTTTTTGAGTCTCACACAGTCTCACATTTCCAAAGCTGGCCTCAAACTCACTACATAGCCAAGGATGACCTGCACTGCCAAGTACTGGGATTACAGGCACACACCACCATACCCAGGGTTTCACACATGCTAAGCAAGGACTCTACCGACTGAGTACCTCCTTAGCTTAAGAGGGTTTTTTTTAATGAGTAAAATTTTCACCCTCTCAATTAATTTCTAATTCACTCTGGAAGCAAATGTTAGCCAGGTATGATGGTATATACCAAAGGATTGGGAATTTAAAGGTCATCCTCAGTTACACAGTAATTAGAGGTTTGAGGCCAGCGTAGGCTACATGAGACCCTGTCTCAAGCCAAAAGATAAATGATTTGTTGATTTCTGTGACCAATAAAATAGCTGAATAGTCAAAATGCTTTGTGTTCCCTAGTTACTGTAAGGGCTACACTCTTAGCCAGAAGCCTGGCCTTGGTCTACAAGTGAAGGAGGGTCTCTTGGTGGACAGAAATATCCCCAGGAGTATGCTTTCACCTGACTCTTCCCCTCATTTGCATCTATAGAGTCCAACTTGGCCACTAGGAAGCAAAACTCTGGGGATGTGTCTCCATCTTGCCCCAGACCAGGCAAATCTTCATTTCTAAATTTGTAAGAAAGCATCCCTCTCATGACTAAGAATTTGGGTGGTGTGAGTCAGCCAGCCTCCCAGAGCCAAACAGCTGAAACTGAACCTTAGTGAAGAGAATGACTGCCTAGCCGAGGACCTGGGCTGAGCCTAGGGTTATAAAGAGACCCACCATATGCCTTCTTTTGAACAGCTCAAAGGAAGGCAGCCCAGGATGCAGAGAAAATAACACCATGTGTCACTGAACATAAGAAGACAAGAAAAGGAGCTGGCCATTGGGGGGAGGGAGGTCACACCTGTCATTCTAGCACTCAAGAGGCTGAGGAAGGAGCACTGTCCAGAGTTCAAGGCCAACCTGAACTATATAGTGAAACCCTGTCTCAAAAAAGGAAAAAAAAAATAATAAAGCCACCTAAAATCTAGCTTTATTTTATGGACTGAAAAAGGAGAAAATAACACCGAAACACATCAATGATTACAAGAGCCTCCTGATTTTAGATTATTTAATATGGGGTGGTAGAAGGGGTACAGCACAGGTTAAAACGAATGAGGAATGGAAATCACAGAATGGTGTGTATGGTAAGTAAAATGTCAGAGAGGTGTGTGTCCCCCTCTGACCCTATGATGAGCAGTGGCCAACTCCCCACACCTCCCCACTCTGCTCTTGGACAGCCTCAAAACAGACTGACACTGGCTGTGCCTGGGACTTGCACATCAAGCTCTCATTCCTCAGTCCCCAGCCAGCTGCCCTGAGATAGAGACAGATACCCTATGAACTACAGTGGTCACCGTAGAGAAAGAGAGTGAGGGTAGAATGTGGGTAGAAGACTGGGAGTGGACAGGGAGCCCTAGATTCCGATGTAGATGATGGCGACAGACCTGAGATTTCCAAGTGAAAGGCAGATCTGTGGACACATCTGATCCTTTTGCCTGAGGACACCCAGAGGACAGCAGGCAAGGGCTCTACCGGGACTCTGAGCTCAGGGGAGAGGACAGAAGTGGAGGCTTCAGTGAACAGAAGGGAGCGGCTTCTGGGTGGGGTCACCCAGAAAGTGGGTGGCGTGAGGACAGAAGGTCCTGAGGTTCAGCCCTACCAGACCCTGAAGAAGCAAAGAACAAAGAAGAGGCCAGATAGCTGTGAGGGAAGAGCCTGAGGCTCAGAAGAGAACAGGGAAACGACATGAGGTCAAGACAGTATAGAAAAGAAACTGAGTTGACAGATGGTATACAGCTCTAACAAAGAATCACCTAGATGATGGCCACCTACCTCAGGGGCCCCAGCTAGAGTAATGTCAGAGTAAGACTGGGGACAGAGCAAGAACAGCTGGCAGTGAGAGGGACAAGCAGTCCTGGACAATGGCAGGTCTCATTCTTGCTGAGGCCTGTAGTCAAGAAGAGCATGGATAAGATGGGCCGAGTAGGAGTGGGGTACATTTGGCAAAGGAACTTGCCAATCTTCCCACTTGGAGGTTGGTTTTGTAAACACACCCTCCCATTGTTGGGTTAACAGGAGTGAGTCTCCCACAGCTGATTCCAGCACAGGTGAACTGAGAATATTGAGTTTGTTTATGAGTTGAAGGGAACAAGCTGGAAGAGATGTTCAGGACACCAGGCAGAGGAGGGAGATAGAAGAGACCACTCCAAGGAGTGGGTGGATGCCAGGGAACTTGGGTGTGGTAGGGACAGACACCTCTCTGCAGTATGCCTGTAGGAACTATATGGCTCAGGTGGCCATCTAGTCCCTTTGGAGTCCAGAATTTCCAAAACTTGACAGGAAACCAAATGAGCAGATGTCAGGAAAAAAGAAACTCCTCAAAGAGGGACCAATTAAAATTAGAATGAAAGCCACCACTGTTAACTCAATAATTACAGCTGATACATGGAGTACCTACTACATATCAATGGCAGGGAGCACTCAACCCTTGCACAGCTATCAGTCCTCCCTCTGATGTATGAGCTGAGTGTCATTAATGTGGCCTTTCACAGATGGAGGTCCCAAAAGTGAAGGATTTGTTCCAGTGGTACTGCTAGGGCAGGCAAGGAATTTGAGAAACAGGAAAAGAGGCAGATTCTTAAAGAAGTAAAGCTTTCAAATGTTAACATTTCAGCAAGCCATCCTCAAACTAATTGTTACTGCTTAGTTTAAAAATGAACCAGGAGGCTAGGGAGACGGCTCAGCAGGTAAAGGCACAAGCCCGAGGACCTGAGTTCAGTTCCTGGAACCCACATGAAGGCAGAAAGAGAGATCCAACGCCACAAAATTGCTTTCTGATCTCTACACATAAACTGTGGCACACATGTACATCATACACACACATACACATATACAAATAATTAAAAATTTAAATTTAAAAAATGAACTGAGCAGGGGTGGGGGAGATGACTCAGTGAATAGAACACTTGCAGGACAACCATGAGGACTGGAGTTCAGATCCCCAGAAACCCACATAAAAGCCAGGCAGGTGTGACAGACACCTGTAATCCCGGCACTCAGGATGCAAAGATAAGGGATCTCTAGGGCAAGCTAACTAGTGAGATGAGCAGGAATCGGCAAACTCCAGGTTCAGAAGAGACCCTGCACCAGTGAATAAAGTGGAGAGGGAGTGAGGAAGACACATTAACTTTGGGCTTCCATACACATGTGCACCCACAAATGTGAGCACACACACACACACATTCCACACATACCACACACACATTAAAAAAAACACCACAGAAGGGGTTGGAGTTGGAGTTTCATAGTACAGTGCCTACCTAGCATGCATGAAGCCCTGGGCTCAATCCCTAGTGCCACAGAAAGCAAGTGATGTCACACCCTGTAACCCCAGCAACTCAGGGGATGGGAGGCAGGAGGATCAGAAGTTCAACATCATCCTCAGCTACATAGTGAGTTCAAGGCTAGCCTGAGATATGTGAGTCTCAACAAAACAAAATAGAAACCAAAGAGCAGTTCGGGCCCTAAGCTGACCACATAGCTAAAGGGTAAATTGATGGCAATAAATACTCTTAGCTGTGCCTCCAAAAAAAGCTAAACTTACACTAACAAATGCAGTTAGCAATCTTCTATCTCATACACCCATCCTGTGTTTGGGGCCACACAGGACAGCCTTCAGTGACTGCCAGTTAAAACCAACAGTAATGGAGTTGGTTAATCATTCTCTCCTTGGTTGGCCCGAGGAGGTCAAGTGTGGTTTCAGTGCCCAAGGCTCACGTCACCCTGTACAGAATGTAACTTTCATGCCCATGCTAATAAAAGCCTCAGTGGACAAAGACTCAGTGGGACTGGTGCTCTGTTTGTGCCACTGGTTACCCCACCTTGCTCTCTGAGTGGGGCTCTAGCTTGTAGTACTCTTCCATTACTGTGTCCTTAGCCTTTCTTCCAGTCCCTTTGACTCTTGGTCTTGGAAGGTGCTCTAGCAAAGCATCCCTAGCCATAGCTCCCCTCATCCAAGGACCCAGGTGATGTTCCAGTTCTCGAAAATGAGTATGGTAGGGCTGGGAATGGAAAGAAAAGTCTCCAGGGTGAAAGACCCAGTACCCTGAGTGAAACTGCTGTGTTTCCCTACAGCGCCAAGACCAGCTCAGAGTGGAAATGCTTCTGACAGCAAATTCCTATTTGTCTGCCAAGGGCCTTATCCTCCCTGGCCTGGAGTCCAGTTGCATTCCCATCAGCATGCAGCATGCATGTGTGACTGGCTGAGCAATGCCAAAGCTGGGTCATCTGAGATCGGTGACCACTAGCAGATGTCTTCATTGGAAACTGGTGGGAGGAAAGGACTCGCATTCCAGCCATCAAATGAAAAGTGGGTCTTTGGAATTTAAAGCAAGGGATATGAAACTAGCACTTTGCTTGATCATTTACCTCTTTCCAGAAGTATTTCTGGTACCCACAGATGAGAACTTCAGCTACATTATGCAAAATGAAAAACACAGGAACGGCCTGCAAGCAAACAGAGTAACAATCATGAAAATACTCTCTCCCACCTCCCAGCTACATAATTCCTTATTTAAAAAAAAAAATAAGAATAAGATGTGGGGGCTGGAGAGATGGCTCAGCAGTTAAGAACACTGATTGTTCTTGCAGAAGACTCGGGTTCAAATCCCAGCACCTACATGGCAGCTAACAACCGTCCGTAACTCCAGTTCTAGGGGATCCAACAGCCTCTTCTATCCTCCTCGGGCATTGCACTACACGGGTGCACTTACCTACATGCAGGCATAACACTCATACACATAAAATAAAAATAATATTTTGTTAAAAAGATAAAAATAAGATGTGTAGGAACATTCAGCACCCACACAGTCTCTCCAGCAAAGACTCTCCTAGACTAGTGCTTTGCTGGAACATTATTCTTGGTGGAGTAGAGGATAAGTCTCCTCTCTTACAGGTTTTTTTTAATCCACATTTTTAAGCACCACATGTGAATCATGCACCATGGCAGATAAACAAATCTCGTGAACAAAGCGGACATACTGTAGGGAGCCTATTCCCAGCAAGTGGGAGGTCAGATGGAGCACCAGCAAGATGGCTAACCCAGCCAGGGAAAAGCAAGCCTTCATGGAGGAAACAAAGCCTGAGAGCTGAATGCTTGGTAAATTGAAACACAGAGGAGGTGGCAAGTTTTACAGGCAGAGGAGGGCTCAGAGGCCCAGAGGAGAGACAAAATCAGCTCCCCTAAGAACTAGAGGAAGTTGAGCATATGTGGAAAAGAATGAAGAGGAAAATGGTAGGAGAAAAAGTGGAGAGGTCATCACAGGCCATATTGGGGAATTACAACTGTCCTGAGGGTTCCAGGAGCCACTGAAGAGTTTTAAGGCAGACCGTGGCATGAATATATTATGTTTAAAGAAGAAACTCGGCAAAGGCAGCAGAGACGACTGCCAAAGTCCAGGGGTACTAGGGGTACTGCAGGCTGAAAAACATCCCTCTAAAAGATATCCACATCTTAATCCCTGAGGTCTGTCCATGTTCCTTTGTATAACAACCACCAAAAAAAGGTCCTTGCAAATTTGTTACAGCAATTACAGGAAGTTAATCTGAGGGGCTGAGAGATGGCTCAGTGATTAAGAGCACTGGCTGCTCTTGCAGAGGACCTGGGTTTGAGTCCCAGCACCCACATGGCGGCTAACAACTGTCTGTAACTCCAGTTCCTCCGCAGGCATTGCACGACACTGGTGCACCCACCTACATGCAGGCTTACACTCATCTACACAAAATAAAAATAAATTTCTTTTTAAAAAAGAAGTTAATCTGAGCGAGCAGACAGGGAAGCCCGAAGTTGGTAGCACAGTAAAGATGGAGAAAAGTAGCCGCATTCGGGAAATATTTTGGAGATGGAACAGAGGTGAATGTGTGAATAACTGGGAACAGAGGAAGGGAGGGAGGGAGGGACAAAAAATGTAACACTAGTCTAGCATGATGGTGTATGACTTTAGTCCCAGCACTTAGGAAACAGAAGCAAATAAATCTCTGTTGAGTTCAAGGTCAGCCTGGTCTACATAGCGAGTTCCAGGCCAGCCAGGACTAGATACTCAGATCCTGTTTCAATAAAAAGAAAAGAAACCCTACAGAGGGCTGTCTTACCCTATGCAGATCCCTGCTGCACATTTGCTAATAATGGCGGTCTCTCCTAACTTGACAGAAAGATTGACAAGGTTGAGAGGAAGGATTAAGGGTTCAGGCATTGTCTTTAGCACTGACAAACATAATGATGGCTCCTGGAAGGCGGTTGACAATCAAGAATAATATCACAGGTTTGACATCGGCCTGGGCCTCACACTCCAGCTCCTTCACTCATGGATGAAGGAACAAGCCCCATATCCAACTCTGAAGTCTTCCTTTGTGGTATGGAGACAGCAACAGCTATATCCTACGGCTGCTGGGAAGAACCACAGCCTCACATGGGTAGAGGATGCTGTTGAGGATGTTGATAAGCATCTTAGGAGCCCTACACAGAATTAGTCATCACCAGCTGGCAGGCCACCCTACCCCTCTGCAGAGAACCACCTGCATAAACTGTTCTGGTTTAGATCATGCCCCTCACCTGCTTCTAGGTGGGTTTTTGAGACCAGACTTTCTATGCAGCTCTGGTGAGCCTGGAAACTGCAATGGGTCCTCCTGCCTCTGTCTCTCTAGTGCTGGGATCACAGGTGTCAGCCACCATGCTGGCTTGGCTTTATTCTTTATGAAGGATACACATTTACCCTTTTATTTCTATGACTCTATAGCCCTGCTCTAGTTCAGTATCTGTTTTACCTTCCCTGTTTCATTTCCCTTTTAACCCATGTCTTATATTTTTCTTCCTTCTTTAAAATAACATTTTCTGCCTTTACTTATCTTTAACAGTTCAACTCATTTTTTTTCTCCCATTAAAAATCAGATTTTAGGGGGCTGGAGAGATGGCTCAGCGGTTCTGCAAGAATACTGGTTGTTCTTGCAGAAGACTCGGGTTCGAATCCCAGCACCCACATGGCAGCTTACAACTGTCCGTAACTCCAGTCCCTGGGGATTCAACAGCCTCTCTGACCTCTGCAGGCATTGCACGACACTGGTGCACTTACCTACATGCAGGCAATACACGAATACACATTTTTTTTAAAAAAATACGATTTTAGATTAGGTGTGGTGCTGCATGCCTTTAATCCCAGCCCTCAGGAGACAGAGGCAGATGGATCTCTGTGAGATCAAAGCCAGACTAGTTTACATAGTGAGTTCCAGGCCAGTTGGGGCTACTGAGAGACGCTGTCTCAAAAAACAACAGCAGGAAAAGCCCACCAAAATCATATTTTAATTCTTTTCTATTATCTTATTTTTCCTTTGTGTTTCTTATTCCTTGTAAACTTCCATGTTTTAGTCTTATGTGTTTTAAGATATTAAAGGGTTTTTTTTTTGTTTGTTTTTCTTTTTCTTTTTTTGTTGCAAGCTTGTCTTTATGCAGACAAGCTGGCTCCATGTCTGATAAAATCAGGTCCTGGACTTCTAATCCTTGGTTTGAGAGGAGAGCCAAAGAGACCCCCCCCCACCACCACCACGTATAGCGGCACACACCCTGAGAAGAGTGAGGCAGGAGAATCTAGAGCTCAAGGCCAGCCTGGTCTACACAGCAAGATCCTGCCTCAAAGAAAAGAGAAGAAAATCTCAGACAGCTTAAACAGGTAAGTCATGTGGCATATAGAAGCAAGTGAGACAGGGTGACCTGGAGCCGAGCAAATGAAGAAATTTTAAATAGCTTTTCGCATTACTTTTCTCAAAAGTAATGGTTTTGGCCTCCTTGACTATGGAAAATCAGAAATGAGATCAGGTTTAGGACTGAGATTACAGAACTCCAGAATTGTAAACTTGGAGGAGCCTTAATTTTCTCAATTTTACGAAGAGTGGGCAATTTTCTCAATCTCCCTAGGCCCCACCCTTACAGATTCCAGAAAAGGATCTATCTGTCTACTAGAATTGATTTCAAAGCACACTAACAATGGCTGCCAACAGTGTGTTAAGCATGGGCCAATTGTTTTATTGGCGTTCTCTGACTTAAACCTCCCAACAACTCTACAAGCAGATGTGATTCTTATATAGACAAAGACACCAAGGCTTCAGGCTTCGAGAAAGACCAGGCAAGTTGTTCCAGTGTTCACAGCCAATCAGAGGCAGAGCCCTGACTCCAATCCAGGCCTGGCTGCAAAGCCTATGCTCCCAACTTTGACCTAATGATACTCAACTTATGTCAGGTACCCAGTGAGCCTGCAACTAAAAAGTTCAACATGGATACTATAAGCCAAATCCTGGCAGCTAGCCAGCTATGTTGGTCATGGTTGTGCTTCCAGCACTCAGGAAGCAAAGGCTGAGGATTACTACTAGTTCAAGTTTAGCCTGGGCTACAGAGTGAATTCCAGGCTAGTCTGGGGCTACAGAATGACAGATAACTCTGTATCAAAAATAAATAAACAAATGAATTAAAATTAAAATTTAAAAAAATCCTGGTAGCACTAAAAATTAAAAAAAAAATTTTTTTAATTTTTATTTTATGTGTATGAATGTATTGCCTGCATGTATGTGAGTGCACCTGTGTCAAGATTCCCCTGGAACTGGAGTTAAGGCAGTTCATAGCCACCATGTGGGTGCTGGGAATCGAACCCGGGTCCTCTGCAAGAGCAGTCAGTGCTCTTAGCCAGTAAGCCAACTCTCCAGCCCAAAACTACTAAGTTCTAAAATGAGTGAACTCCAAGAAAAATCTATGCCATTTTAGAAAAAAGAATATCTGATTCTTTAATTTTAAATCTGAAAATTTCAAGCCATTCTCCCTACTGAAAAGCCAGCAAGTGTTAGAAACAGCTAGTCTACAACTGGCCAGCTAGATTCCATCCACCTGAATAGAGATACGTAAAAAACAAAATAAAACAGAACAAAACAAAACAAACAAATGAAAAAAACAGTATTAGGGGATTAGAGAGATGGCTCAGCAGTTAAGAATACTTGCTGCTCTTAAAGAGGACCAGGGTTCAGTTCCCAGCACACACACAGTAACTCATACCATCTACAACTCCAGTCTCAGAGGATCAAATGCCCTTTTCTGGACTCCATGGGCACTGCATACACGTGGTGAACATACAAACTTGAAGGTGTGTATACACATAAAATAAATTTTTTTCTTATAAAACAGCATTAAGACACTTTGCAGCTTTACTTATCTCCCCCAATCTAAACTGCCCTGCATCAGTTCAGGAGACTCTAGTAACTGATTCTTTTGGAAAACCTACTGTATTAGCTACTATTCCCAATGCTGTGACCAAATACTTGACAAGAAGCAATTTAAGGGAAGAAAGATATAATCTGGATTACAGTATGAGGGATACAGCCCATCATGGCAGGGAAGTCACAGAGGCAGGAGCATGGTGTGGCTGGTCACACTGCATCTGTAGTCAGGAAGCAGAGAGCAGAGAGGAAGT